TATTCAACCTTTTGAAGCTTGATACCAAACAGTTGTTGGACTGCAGTAGAAATAAACTACGATGTCTAACAGGCCTTCTCACAGGTCACTGTCATTTGAATCATCATATGCAGAGACTTGGACTGTCAGAAGACAGTGTGTGTCGCCTTTGTCTGGAAAATGATGATCCAGCAGAGCATATACTTTGTGCCTGTCCCGCTGGAGACCGAATCAGGTTCTTAGATTTCGGCATATTCATACTCTCACCATCTGACCTGAAGAACCACTCACCATACAAACTAATCGGCTTCGTTAAGAAGCTGGCTTCATTTGGCTAAGTGTGAATAGGTGTTAGCCACAATAAACCCTTGTGGGTTGCGGTGGAGAGTTGAATAGACCCACTCACTTTAGACCTACCTACCATTCTTGTATACAAGAAGTACCTCACTTGATTGGTTGATGATACCAGGTAGAATTTGGAAAACAATTACAATCTCTGTTCTTGGATACTAAGTAAATTTTGAATAGAAATAATTATTGGCATTATAAAAATAGGTTTTATACAGATGAGTGGTTCGTCCAATAGATAGTGTTTGAATGTGAAATGGTGTTGTTGAAATATTGATTGTTCTCCAAAAGGTGGCAGGCATAGGTGGAATTGGAATTCTTCACTTCCAAACTTTTTTTATGCTCAAAGATTTTCGTTTTGAAATTTCTTAAAGTTCTTTCTCTAGAATTATTTGTGTATGATCTGCATGTTAGTTTTCAGACGCCTGATCTTTTATATTGGTCTATGTTTTTTCGAAAGAATTTAAAGTAATGAAAGAACAAGTATCCCCACTACACACAAACGGGAGACGTCAGCATAATCTGTGAGCTGACTTGAAAACTATATTAAGTGATATATCTGACCATACTCAACTAATAAATTTCATCAGTGATATTAATGTACTGGATAACATTTGAATGACATTATAACATTGTAAAAATCATATATATTTGTAAATGACATACAGCTAATAACCTTCTATGGTTGAAGCTAAATAAATGAAAATAAATAGTATCCATGATCGTCTTCAGGTGATAGTCACTTGGATTTGAAGTCTTTTCCATTTTTCAATTCACTTTTTGAATTTCCGCCTATTTTTATTGTTTTTAATTTTTTTTCTGTTATTACGGTCATTTTCATCTTACATCTTGATTATTTTATTTGTTTCATTTTATTTTCATTTCACGGTATATTGCTCAAAATAATTGATATTTCAGTTATTCATCCTAATTTCATTTGTTCTTTCATTGATTTCGGATCACAAAAGAATCATATAAAACAATGGAAGTCCCAGCTAGTGAAATTCACCCTTGTCTATGTTCCACCAGTTGCATGTTCATAGTAGTGAATCAATACATATAATGAAAATGTACATGGAACATATTTGAGAACTATTATTGATGATTGTTATTAAATCAATAGAACCCGAAACAATGACTACCGGAACTTTTGTCTGTTTCTCTTTTAATTTTTGCGTTTATGTACGTTCAACTGATTTTGGAGCAATTTCAATGATGTATCTTGATAATCTCCAGCTAACATTTGGTACTGATTTATTTCACATAGTCCATGGATGGAAAAAGTTCCGTTGTTCTCAATAACGAAAGCTATTGAGTATTTGGATAATCTTCAGAAAATCAATAAGGATGGCACAGAGTTGTTTTTTTGTTTTTATATGAGAAACCTTCTGTTACTGAAAATTTCGAAAGATTGAATTATGGAAACGAAGGATTCAAATATTCGGGAACACACACTATCAAACTGAGCAGATTATAATAACTTATAGAGACCAGTACATGTTAAGCACTTTTGGATGCCTTCGACAGTCAAACGGATATTTGTTCACTACTTAATTCTTCTCACTACTAGGTAGAGTATAGAGTAGTGATAATTAGGGATCAAGATACGATACCAAATCTAATTGATAATTAGATTCAAGAATTCACTCATTATCGAAGTTAAATTTCTTCCCAATGAATCAGAAAGATGTAACTCAATTGTGAAGAATCAATCCAAATATCCATGAACTCCTCTCTGCTATTTTGGGCAACCTAGGGTTTTCAATACATGCTGTAGCACTACTAAAAAGTTACCTTTGCAATAGTTTTAAAAAACAGTATTCCCCAAGCTTCAATATTGGACCCTCTCTTGTTCGTTTTATAAAAATCTCACTTTCATAGGTCAATGCAATTTGCAACCACGCATTGTTATGACGACGATACTCAGCTGTACATGGAATCCGACGGGAATTCAATTAACAGGGATATATGGCAAATTGATACTGATTTTCATATGTTATCATCCTTGTCAACTGAATATCTGTAAATGNCAAATTATTTATTGATATTCAAGATTATTTATTCCATGATAGACTCATAATAGGTGACTATATTCAAGAGATAATAAGCACTAGTAAGCGTTATCGTATGAAATAGGATAGGTCAAAGAGTCAAAAGATGTATAATATGTAACAGTGGTGTAGCTTGAGGGGGGCAATGAGGGCAACGTCCCCAGGTGGTAGGATGCAGAGTAGACTTAATCTAAGTCCATCTGAATTGCTGTTTTGAAATGGTTGAATCCCGGTTGAAAGTGGGGACCATATGTAGCGGTAATCAACGATTCCCCTTTTTAAAATGGAATTTCAATTAACTAGTCAAGTTTTATTGGTTATTTGCGTTGGCGAACTAACTTGTGTGTCACACCAATGGTGATAAAATGTATGTCTCGCTAGCGTACACACAGTTATTTTTAACAATTACTCTTCTTAGTTCTCACATTTTGTCTTCAATCGAGGACCACCTGCCCGCTACTGAAGATGCCCAACAGGCTGGAACAGTTGTCTACCGATTACTTTTTCTTTATTTAAAAGGAAAAACACCGCATCAACCACTAGGATTATTAGCGGTTACAGTAGGTATATTAAATTTTGTTAGAGATGCCAACATTTTCCAAAAAACTATAAAGGGAAGAAAAGTTCGTAACAGAAAAGTTGGTAATCCGAAAAATTGTCTTTCTTCATTGAAAGCTGGGCAATCAGAAATGAAATGTTCAACACTCATCGTCACACTGCAGGTATCACAAATGCGAGGCTCTTCATGCTTTAGGAGATGTAGATGGGTAAATTTCGTATGTCCAATTCTCAGGCGTGTAAGTAAAACTTGCTATCAGCGGGTGAGAGCTCGGTGAATTTGAGTGACTAGATTCGGATTAATGGCTCTGAGTTTATTATTATATAGGGGTTGCCACCTTTGCCTCCATCTGTCGCATATGAGCTCTTTGATTTGGAGATGAACGTCTTGATAGGGCACTCGTTGGATCTCTCGACAGTTGGGAAAGTTATTACAGGATGGTAAACACATTGAGATAGTTTGGATTTCTTCTCATATGGGAATAACGGGTAATGAAAGGGTCGATTCAGAAGCTCGAGAGGTCATTTCAAACCGATGACTCTTAATTTGAAATCAGCTTGGAACTGTACTTACATGAGAAAGAGGTCGTGATCTCCCTTGCCCCCAAATTTCATCAATAGTTCTATGCTTACTGTGTTCAGCTCTAATTTCAACAATAAAAAATCAAGAGAAATGACAAAAACTAGCAACCGGTTTCTGTTAAGAATGAACTTGAAGTTTTGATTTTTATGATTTCAGGCAACTGGCAAGACTAGGTGAGTACCTGCGACAGCAGGTTGATAGACAAGTTAAGAACATATCACAACTGTCTTTTGTTTTTCAGTTCGTTGAGACATCTTATTAATAGATCCTTTGTGGTGGAGACTCTTCATTTAGTGTGATTATTTCAGACTAGTTTTTGCCCACAGCTTCGCCTGCGAAGAATTTTTGTCCCTTTGAGGGGTGAACATTCCTGATTACCTTTCTTGATGCTTATTTACGCTATACAAAGAACCTACCACTCGAACTGATTTACGGAAATCGAAAATTCTTCCCTAAAAACACAAAAATTACTTTATGTGACAGTCTAGTTCTTTCATCTTTGAACTATGCAGATGTACTTTATGGACCATGCCTCACAATTAGGAACCAGAAAAGACTCCAAAAGATTCCTGCCTTCGCCTTATTTATGGGGTACGCTGATTGATATCATTAAGCTGATTGATATCAGGTGTATAATGTATTACTTCTGTTTTTTTTTTGTTTTTTGTTTGTATTTGTTTTATTTTTTTTTTGTTGTTGCCAGTTCTCGTAGCTGGCTGTGGAGGTTAAGTGGTAGAACAAACCTGTAGTGTTCTACACTGCAGTTTTGAACTTCGCCTTTAGGATGTTATATTGTATTTCACCCAATAAAGACCATTATTATTATTATTATTATTATTGCCTGCATATTTCAAGATTCTAGGTTCAATAGCTTTGGCTGTACGTTGATATAAGAGCGGGCAACAGCTAGTAATTTATATTTTTACTTTATGAATACAGTTACCTAAAAATATGCCAACTGCAGTAAGTAAAGAATAGCTTCGAGAAAATAATTATGTTACCTATAAATGAATTCGCAAAACTAACGCAACCATCAACGATATCTGCCCTCACACGTCTGCCCGTGTTCGGGTCGCGTTCTTGGTGATGGCGCTTCATTGCTTAGAACGCCCCTATACCCCCGCTTATCGACCCATGCCGTCTCACAGTAGACGCGACGCGTTATTGCTTATTACATTGCATCGAATTAATCTCATCGTGTTAACTTTCAAACCATTCGTTCAAATTACTTAGTGTAGCAGACAAAATTTATCCATATTGAATACTTGAAATAACAATTGTTTAAATTTTTATAAGAATCTGACAGATATTCTAAAATGTGCAATGCAAAAAAATATCCAATTTAATTTCAATCACGTATAAGCCGTATTTATGTAAAGTTTCATTCAAATCCGTTTAGTCATTTAGACGTGAAAGAGCCACAAATATACATACATAAATCCATGTTCACAAACTTTCAGATTTATATTAGTGGAGATAGTTTACCTTATCTTGAAGATTTCTGAATACTCAGATCGTTTCTGCACCAGGAGACCAATAACACCAGGTGTGATGAAGTTAATTTCTGTCAAATCACATATCTGATTTTGGTCAAAACTTCTCGCTATCAAGGGATATGCAGTTGCAGCCTCCGTGTGGTACGCAAATTTTCCTTCCTTAACCAGGGCTATACCATCCTCAGGTGGTAAAAGATTCGGTTTTCCAGAATCATATATTTTCGTTTCGTTCAATTTTTCAATATATATGTTGTCGATATGTTGAATAATGTATGTTATGGTATAAGGCTGATTTTCTATTGCAACTCTCAGATTACTCTCGTACAGTTCTTTGATTGATGTTAGCATTGTTGGCTTTGAGCTCAAAAGAGAAGAGACCAAACTTGAGGTGTAATAATTGTAGAGCATCATGGATATTATGAGAATATTCAGAAAAATTATTCTGCCTCCTAAATGACTTGGTAGTATGGCCGATCCTGAAAATCAAAGAAACTTACGCTTTCGGCAAGTTTTTCTGAAGGGTTTGGTGAAAATGAATCGGAATGAAATTTGGAAGTGTTTATTTGAGTAAAGCTTGTAGATATCATGAATAACGCAATCAAAAGTTGATATCATAGTAACTATTTCAATGAAACTGTGTCAACACAATTCAATACTGAGATGAATTTTGATGAATAAGTATATTATATCTGATTCACCATACAATAAAAATGAATTTGATCTCATATATTCATGACGATTTCAAAATCACTCACGTCACTCCAAATGAAATCAGGAATCGAATTATGGACTTTTCGAAATCAGTGAAAAATCAGATGATATGTAAAGTATCTGAATTGCTGAACGAAAGTATCCAAATGGTATGAATAATCACAGACCACCCAGTGGGTTGGGCTACCTATCGGGCGCGAACCCAGGTGGTGGATGGGGGAACGGCCAGAGGACTGGGAGCCCTGTCGGGGAAAACAATGTAGCCTCACGTACGGGGTCGCAGGACTCCTGGTCAGTGGCAGAAATAAGTACGGTGGGGGGAACTAAAACTCTCCAAAAGCCTTTGCGAAACAAGTCACCGTGGACCAGCCTACCCAAGCTAAGGTGTGAGGAATCGTGTCGACAGCTGAATGGTCTTAGGGTGATATGCGTTTACGAACGATCCCCTTGGGAAACCGGGCAAAACATCATTGTAATCATCCTACCTCTGGTAATGCGGGGCTCTGCCAGATGTCACCAACTCTTCCCTTGCTACTAGTGGAAACACATATGAATGAAACAAATACAAAAACAGAAATAACAAAAACCAATCCCGAGGCTGGACAGAAGGGCTCATTCCAATCTAAGGCGGTGGCTGGGGATGAACAGAAATGTCCACCCCCATCTACCGCTCGGAATGAGGCTGGACATGGCAGATCACCTCGTGATATAAAACAAAGGCCAAGGCGTAAGGGCATTTGCGGCGCCGAGGCCAAAAGAAGAAAGAGACCGAAAGAGGTCCGAGTGGCAGCAACTGTATGTGCACTCTCCTCCTCCACCACTCTACTTCCAACAGCAAGGGCACTTCTTGCGGCGGGCGTCAAGAGCTCCGCTTCGAATAAAGGTGGAGCTCTACCCCTGTATCACAGCTACCCCTGCAGGAAAACGCCCTCACTTGTGCACCTTCACGGAGGGAACACCAATAAGGTTGAAAAAGCCGAACAACGACAGTAATGTCGCTGCACCTTCCAAAACCTTCGTGGAAGTCGCCTTGAGATACCTCAAGGTTGTTAAAGAGAGTGTATGTTCGGCGAGTCTTGGCCTACACCTGCCAATATAAAGGAAATGTCTCTTGTTGACCTGTTCACCTTTCTGGAAGGGACATGATGGACGATGACCTAGGAGGACAAGTCCTCGTGAGGAATTGTCTCATGTGGCCTAAGTGCTCTGGGCCTACACTAACTCTACAGATACAGATCACAGACCAAAATCATCATCTTCTATAATGTCCTGAATTCATAAAAAAATACTGAAATGGAAACTGAGTCATCTGCAGCAAAATAATCTATTCACAAATTCTCAGTTTGATTTTCGAAATAACAAATTCTCCCAATAAATAAACTTATAAATAATCTTATATCTACTGTGAACTATGATTCAGAGAATAAAGAATATGTGAAATTATGAAAGCCTTCGACTGTGTCTTTCATGATATCCTGAATCTGTATATATCTGATGGAAAACTATTACAGCTCATAACTGACAATATCGGGACCGAATGCAACTGACGTACTCCAATAATAACTGTTCTGATTTATCAACGGTAGAGTATGGGGTTCCTCAGGGCTCAGTACTGGATCCGTTATTGTTCTTATTCTGCATCAATAACTAACCTGCGGCAATACCGAGCACTGAGGTGGTCCCCTTCACTGATGATACTCTATTGACTGAAACGAAATTTTCCATATATAAATGAAAGGAGGAAATCAGGAAGGCACAGTTGAAGGTTGATGACTGGTTCAATTGTAACAGGCACTGTTTGAATAACTCATAGGTACGTTAGTACCGATGAAGCTACGGTTAGTACGATGAAGCTACCTTTCCTGCGAAAAGAAAGTGGAAGGAAATACAGACAGACAATGTCTTCAAATTTGTGGGATCAAATACCAGATAATTTTTGGAAATATGAAAATAATGCAAATATTGTTATGAGACGAGAAGTGTACCGCTAGTATTCAAATGAACTATCAACTATTTTTAGAGAATATTTACATTTAATAAATTGCACCAACCTTGCTGTGCCAATATGGATATGGTTATAACAAATGAAGTGAAGAGACTATATCTTGTATTGGTCTGAAGGTACTCATATTCAACCCAGTAAGATAATTTTATAGCTATACCCATCAAGAGTCCAGCTCCTATTGTTGCATACCAAGTTTTAATAGAAAACGGTTTCAAAACCTCTACACCAGGTTTTACAGTTCCTGGGTTCCTGAAGAAGAAAGAAGTCCTGAAAAATAAAAAATAAATCGAAAATTAAATAGAATTCAGATCACACAATTCAAATCATTGGTTATGAAATTAATTTTGAGAAAAGTTGTTGATGTTGCATAAAATTCAAACGGTGAAATCCAAATAAACCGATTGAAATCGAAAGGGGTATATTTTCAGAAGAGATCATTTCTGGTAAAATAACTTTTGGCTTTCACTTCTCTATTTTCATACAAAATATTTTGGGAAATCTCTGAATATTCACGAAATTGAAAGAAACCATGATATCAAATAAATGGGGGAACACTAAGATGGTTTTGGGTGCTCATTCAAAAGCTGTCCTAAACTCAAATAATGAAAACTCAATTCTGTTTCCCCTCCTATAATGTAAATAAATAGATCCCTATGAGAAAATATGTTCAATGCGAATTGATCTGAAATGAATTTTCTTCTTTCTTCTCAAAAAATTATCAAAATCGAGCAAAAACTGAAAAGGTTGGCACCTGAACGAATGAATGGCTTCAAAATGAACATTTCGAGGGCCATTTTGGAAGTCTTTGAAATCTTCGTATTCAATCCATTCTGTTCAAAGAATATTCGTGAAATTTCTCTTGTGAAAGTTTTTTTTTCCTCAGTACTTCCACTGATTACTTCCGGTTTATTAGAAGATTTCAGTAAATACATCAGAAAAACTCAAATACCAGTATTATAGTAGATCAACTGAATATTTTCTTCAGTTTGTAGCTATGCTGAAATGAAATATATGTGAAAATTGAAGATTTACCTGAATTCATAATAAGGTACTAAGAAATCGTAATAATCGATTCTCTCACATCGAAGTAGCCCTCCAGAACTCATAAAATCTAATTCCTTTCGATTTATTAGACTCGCCAATCCACTATCAATTCCACTAGAACTATTTCCGAACCATGCATCCCGTAGGGTAGTGTTATAACTGAAAATCACAAACTTCAGCCCATAATTATTATAAAACTCATTTACTATGAAAATAGTTCTTACTGAAAATTATGAATCTGTTTCAGGAACAGGAACAATTGAAAATGAAATTTTCCGAACGTTTGAATTTCTCTATAACGCCTTGCTTGTTCATAGTCCTCTTCAGTTTCGAAAGAATAGTTTACCTATAAAGTGAGCAATTACTGCATAATCGTCAGGTGATACAGATATGAGTGATAAATTCTTACAAATACACATTAGTAGATATTGAAAATGCATTGCTCAATGTTTTCGTCTAACTTTGTAATACTGAAGATACTTTTGAGCACAAGGCAAAAAGTAGGTCGTCTGAGACAAATTAGTTTTTTGTTTCAGCATTGGTACTCTTCGTCTGGAGCTAACTTTTCAAGGTCGTAAGTTGAAACAAACTTGGAAGCCATGGAGTCGAAAGATTATTATTATGACAGAGAAAAATGGAACATTCCTATGTGGCAGTGGCACCATTTTCATTCGGGTTTGAAGGCTGTCGATTTTTTGATTTTTTCCTGATGTTCCGCTGGCGCAAATGGCTAGCTTCCTCAGAGGTTTTTACATCCTGATTTTATCTTCCACGGCTGAGTATTTTGATTGCGTAATAGTATATTATGCAACGATCATGTAATGATGGTTTTTAAGACACGAGCATTAACCGGGATACGAAACGAGCCGAAGGCGAGTTTTGTACGGTATATGCGAGTGTATTAATAACCATTACATGAGAGTTGCATACGCTATTTTTTCTAAACTCGATAAATAATGAAAAACTATAAATATCATATTTGTATGGAACACATTTACAGTAATTAACTCATATTTTTTAAAAAAACAAACTTAATGGTATTATCATGGATATATGAAAACTATAAAGATTCTAATTATATTTATATTGAATATAACAACTGTAATTAATCTGATCTTTTGAAAATATTGGAGTCGATGGTATTCCTTCTATATCGCTGTTTTCAGACATTTTGATAATATAGGTAGGTAATATGACAACTGATTTTGACAAATATAGCAATTAGTTACTTAGGTTAGAATCTAGGACAAACAAAGGAACAGGATTCTTGATTGAAAAATTATGGGTTTCTATTGGTTGATAATCTGTATCCTTATGAAAAATCTGTATCATAATGGATATCATTATGAAACGGATTATGGTCATATAAGTGTATTGTTAGAGTACGGGTGTAGAAAAAGCCATTTGTGTTGTTTTAGGTAATTTGGTGTGCCAACTTCTGAACCTGTATATTACTGGAGTTTTTTCCCAACAACCAACCGTTATTTCAACACCTTGTCACTTGTTTCGGTAACCAAATGATCATCTTCAAGAGAAAGATGATCGTATTTCATTAGTTCGGACTTCCATTGTCTAATATTATATAAAATGATTTGAAATCCCTAAAAAAAACCAATACGAATGAAAGTACAAAGGAAAATCATCATCTCAGGTGAAGAATCCAAGGCATTTTGTCGAACTACTAGGGGCAATCAAAGTCACAGAGCAAGATCAACTTATTAGTTTCGACGTGGAAAGCCTTCACACAAACGTTCCGGTCAAAGAAGCACTCAAATTAATCAGAGAAAGCTATCCGAAAGATGGAGACATGAAAGATAGAACAAACTGGACTATAGAAGTAATTATGGAATTACTAGGATGCTGTGTATGGAACTGTTATTTCCAACTGAAGGGCGAATTCTTTACAAAAGATCAGGGACTGCCAATGGGATAGTCACTACTTTCACCAGTTATAGCTTTCATCTTCATATCCACAGTAGCTCCTATGATATTTAGCATACCAAATTCATCAATGGAAAACCTATCTTCACCCCATTCATATGACTTTAATCAGTTCATCAGTATCTCACAATCCAATCCATCATCAGCTAGTAATAGCCGGGAAATTTCTGGAAGCTGTTTCCAAATGAACCAATTCTAAGTGGGGAGAGTCTCATTATTTCGTTTTTTTTCAGTTATTATATTACTTGATAGTGAAGCTGAGATGTTAGATGTTGATACTTCATGAGAGTCAGAAGTATTCAAAGTATTTCTTCATTTTTCATTAGTAGGCAATTCCCATCAATAACAAGTTTCTAGCTCCCAGATGATCAATTATAGTTAGTTTTAAATCCGAAACACGTACTGTTCCACAATATCAGAACACTCTTCTCGAAATGCGTTTCTCTAATCAAGTTTTCGTCTTCAGTTCACTTCATCCCTTGTAGACGCTCATCGAGAAGAGTGTTGTAGTTCTGGTGTTTGGGAACAGTACTTGTTCAGAATTTATTTTACGACAGAAGTTCCAGTTTTATCTTCCATAGTTAATTTAAATTTTTTGAGGTGAAATAAAGAAACATTGGCATCTCTCAACTGCAATAGTGAGAGTCTCATTTAATAAAAATGACTTCTTCAGTTTTTATTGTTTGAATATGAATATGTTGACTGGAAGCAACAAGAATTTATTGTATACTTCCTCGAAACTATATTCGAAATCAGATGAGAACGTTTTTATACATAGATCACTAGACTAAAGGCTTGTAATTGCTATAGTTCTGGGAAATGAAGTAGTTACTTCCGTATCGATAAAATTGATTAGCTCAGGTGAAAAACTGGAGAAATGCTTGATGAAGAATGACCATGAGATAACTTTCTAACTGAAATTCAATTTTTTACGTACCTTATTACCATTTCTTAACAGCACCCCTGACATGTCCTTCCTGGATTCATATAATGACAACTTCTTACCGATATGCTCAAACGTTCCATTCCTGAATATACAAACTTTTCTTACAGTGACATTAATGCCAATACCAAGTTTGTATACTTCAAAAACTTCATATTCATCTTCTTGGAGTGTAGGTACAGCAAACTTTACATTCATATCCGCCCTCAATTTCAATCCAGTGAAAAGAGTTTTGATGTCATCTTCTCTGATGGAAATGTTATGAATCATCAGCCAACCGTACGTGAACCTAAATTTTCCAGCTTCGGATACCTGGAATTGTTGAGGTGAACTAATCAATCGACCGACGGAACTTAATTTTCCGAGATCAATTAGAAGAATGGAAATCACCAGAAAATATAAGGTGAAAATTGATGATGAGTACAATACAATACAAGTCATTATGGGAACAAAATTTGTGATGATTGCTGTTATGCCTTGGGAATGGGTGAAATTACGAAAATTGCAAATAAAAACTCACATCTATCTATTCACATAAATTGTATTCAATGGACTGCCCACATCCAATTCTTCAACTATAGAAACATATAAATGCCAAAACTTATAAAAACCATTGGTATTTCTTGCTGATATAAATTGAGATTGCTGGGCCTTCTACGGCTGAGCCACTGCCGCGTGAAGGGGTTGAGTAGAATTGATGGAATATAATTCAGCTTCAGGTTTTGACGCCGCTAAATTAAGTGATAGAGAAGCTGCGATAGTAATCACATCTGAGCTGAAAATTGCAGGATCTGACCCCATGAAATTTACTGTAAACAGGCTCTTCGTCGGGTAACAGAAAAAGTAGAATATATTTACAAAAACAAGGAAGTACTTTTAGCTGCTTTCTTGGACATTGAGGGCGCATTTGACAATACGTCCTTTGAATCAATCATCCAGGCGTCGGGGAGAAGAGGGATCGACAAGACAAGCTGTAGGTGGATAGACTGCATGCTTAGGGGGAAATTGGTATGTACAACCATTATGGGGGAAACAGTCGTGGTACGGGTAGCAAGGGGCTGTCCTCAGGGAGGGTTATATCCCCTCTGTTATGGAACTTTGTAATGGACGAGCTACTATGTCTCTTAGACTGTAATGGGTATAAAGCACTGGGCTATGCAGAAGACATAGTCATCTCAGTCCAGGGTAAATACAATAATGTAGTGAAGGGATGCATGCAGCAGGCCCTGAATATTGTTACAAGATGGACCGAAGAAGAAGGGCTTAACAGAAGCCCATCCAAATCGACCATAGTAGCATTTACCGAGAGGACTGAAACGGAGGGTCTCGGACCTATAAAACTTTGAGGTGAAGAAATACAAGTGTTGGAGGAGGTTAAATATCTGGGAGTAGTCCTAGATTCCAAACTGACCTGGAACTAACACTTGGACAGGATAAAGAGGAAAGCGGAGATAGCACTGATGCTCGCCAGAAGCACCTATGGAAAAACATGGGGGCTAAAACCAGACATGGTATATTGGCTATACACGATGGTGGTTTAACCCATGATAACATATGCATCTCTGGTCTGGTGGCCAAAGATGAAGCAGGCGACCATCATCAACAAACTAGGCAAGGTGCAAATACTTGCATGTTTGGGAATGACGGAAGCAATGAGAACTACCCCAACAGCTGCATTGGAGACACTCCTGAATCTATCTCCTTTACACTTTGTAATAATGGATGGGCCAATTCAGACTGGAAAACTCGCCGAACTACAAAAGATCGGACCAAACAGAAATTTTGGAACGAGTGGAGGAGCACATATTGAATATGTGCACGGACCACATGACACCGAAGTACACCTTTAACACAAACTTCACGGCCAAAATCATAAGCCGTGGAGAGTGGAAGACCATTAGTCATCCCGCAAACATGTTTGGAAAAAACATCTGGTATACAGATGGATCGACGACCAAATATGGAACGGGAGCTGGAATATACCGATCGGATAGAAATCTGAACAGCATATATCCGCTAGGATTATACATATCTGTCTTTCAGGCGGAAGTGTATGCTATCTTGCAGTGTGAAGGCTCAATAAATTGAGACCTCAAAGAAATGAGCGGATCAATATTTTTACAGACAGCAAGAGCGCACTAGGGGCTCTGACAAACCCGAAGGTGACATGGAAACTGGTCTGGGAATGCCATGAAGAACTGAATGAACTTGCAAACAGTATCACATTACCTTTATACTGGGTGCCAGGGCATTCAGGAATCATAGGTAATGATGAAGCTGATGAATGCGCTAGACGCGGATCATCAACTTCATATATAGGTCCTGAACCAGCACTGGGGGTACCAAAATCATTGGTACGAAACCAGATTAGGACATGAACCAATAAGAATCACACAGAGTACTGGACAAAAGTACCTGGCAACAAACACAGTAAAACCTTCATTGGGGAACCATCCGAGAAAATAACTGAAGAACTACTTCAATATAGTAGGGATCAGCTCAGAATAATTGCAGGGTTACTCACCGGTCATTGTCCGCTTAGAGGATATCTGAATAAAATGGGGCTGTACAACGGATACCTCAGCTGCAGATTATTCAACGAAGGGATAGAAACAACTCTACACATCTTATGCGAATGTGAGGCACTGAATCACAGGAGGCAAGCAATTTATTCATTTATTTATTTATTTGTATTTATTACCCATACAGTCCATTAAAAACTAATTACATGGATAAACTGTTGGCAAATACACTACAATGATAGCTATTTAAAATAGAGTTACTTATTTTCAAATTGATTACTTCCTTCCTTTCTTTGGAAGATTCTCTCATCCATTTTTTTGTATCAGATGGAGTAGTAGAAAGCCAAAAACTTTCTTTCTCAACAGTTTGTTTTGCGCCCAGAAGAATATGACAAACATCCAATACGGAACCTGTACAAACTAGTACAGGAAACGAGACTGATGGAATGGGTGTCATGAGAAGATGGAAGAATGAATGCAATAAGCCCAAGAGGCTGCAGTTTTTTCTGGAGACTTGGACTGAATGGACAAGTCAGACAGATCTTAAGGTACAAAAAAACTGTAAACAGGTCGTCCAACGTCAAAAGCATCGGACAGAGATGGCGGAGTCGTTGAAAACGTAAATTCACTACTAATTTGTCTTTGACTGTTCACTGGGACGGATAGCTGATAGAAGATATCACTGGGCATGAAACTGTGGATCGTCTTCCTATTTTGTTGTCAGGGCAAGGAGTTGATCAGCTGCTGGCGGTCCTAAAAGTGGAACGTGGAACAGGAGAAGCATGTGCGTCGGCTGTGTACGGTACAATACTGGAGTAGAGACTGGGCGATAAAGTAAAGTGATACGACTGGAGTCAACTATGGACTAAGAAATGGAGCATGCGTACTACTGGAGCAAAACATGAAGGAGGATAACTTTTGGCTTGCATGTCGTCATCACATATAAGAGATAATGTTAGGAACTGACGTAAACACGGCACTAGGTCCTTTAGGTGGGCCTGATATTTTAATTTTCAAATGATTTAAGAAATATTAGAACAAAATTGAACAGAGTGACAGTCGTATCTCAAATTCACTGGAATTAGTTCAAAACGTAGTGCAGGCTATGTTTTCTTTCTCTCAAAATCAATTTAACGAATATCAGCCTCGAGATGATTATAAAAAGCTGATCAACCTCACAATTATTCACCTAGAAGGAGTTCCCAATAAAGGATCATTGTTTCGAATGCCAGCTGGATTGCAAAGTACTCGCTGGATATCAAAAGCGATGTATTGCCTGAAAATATTCTTATTCAGATACCAGTTCAAACTGACTGAAAAAAAAGAAAGAGGGATTGAAGATATCTTCATTTTATCAGTCACAATTTTTGTAAAATACTGGTATCAAGCTTCTGTTGCTTTTTCAGCGTCCAGAAACGATATGCAGCTATCAAAAGACCTCACTGTATTCGAAAATTTAAGTCAAACAGTAGCCAAAGTTGCTCTGAAAAGATTCTGGGACATTTGTGGTACTTGTCAGAAGAGATCGTATCACTTGCATTTTCTGATGACGACATTGCTTCAGATACCAAACAAAAATGGTACGGTCAATGAGTATTGTCAAAGATGTTGCAGAACGTAGTGTTGCTTTAATGGATCTGTAATGGTGATCGAAAGTTCGCTATACAATCTGATATCCAATATCTTCGTTCTCCATAATTAATCGGAAAAGAATTGTGAAGGAACTAAACAAAAAACTAATAATATGAAGACAGTATATAACACAGCTTAACTAATTTATTTATTTCCCCACGAGCAGGGATTGTAAAATAAGAACGGGAAATGTTCATGAGCAATGATCAGCGTCAAACTTGAAGAAAAATCAATAATAATGAGACATTTTTTGTGCATGCTGTTTGAAAATTTAACGCTGCATTGGATTTATTCATTCTGATTGATATATTTCTGCATACCTTTCAAAAATGAACTATATCGTTAGTTCGTCGTATTCTTAACATGAACATTCGAAAATGATTGATATAATACCTCTTTCAGAATATCTTGACTTCTATTACATGACATGTCCATTACATAACTCAATTTTCCATATATGTCATCATTTCTTTGAGTTATTACACCTGTATTCAGTGGCGGAAATGCAGTTTTCATCAAATACTTTTTCTGAGTGAGCTTTTGCATGTGAATCATCTCTGAAAAAAGAATATAATATGTCATATGCAATAGTTATCATCACCCTCATACACTGAAATTGGAATTGAATCTAGCTTTTCATCATTTTGGTAATAGTTTTGCAAAATCACTATCACATGAAAAGTTTGTTATCAACTAGAACGTTTGCAACGGGTGATATATCCTTATTTTCATCATCATGGGTGGAAAATGAAGTAGCTACGTCACATGAAAATTCTATGGAGTTGTTTTGGAAACATTTCCGCGAGAAAAACACTCCAGCTAAATATGTACATTTTACAATATTTTGATAGCTGCTATAACTTTTCAATCCACAACTTTCAAACCGTAATATTTGCTGCGAAAGAGGAAACAACCGCTACAATCAATTCGTATACTACTTTCAAAAATGTTTGTCTGCCAAAAGTATGCTTTAAGTTCAATTACTAACGGGTCGAGGTGAGAATTCGCTTCCAGGTTTATGGAAAAGTAATAGAATGCCTCAATATGACTAACAACCAGTCCGGGCAAAGCTTATTGTTGAATCATCTGAAACAGGAACTCTTAACAGGTGATGATCGACTGTAATGCCAAACATGCGCCAAACTAACTGGCTGTTACAAAAAACAAGTATAGCTGAGGCACCAGTCAATCTAATAATAACACCGATGATTATCAAACTTGACTCAACCTCTG